ATCCACCAGGGACCCCCATCCACATCTCCCCACCCTTTGTCACCCCACCACCACCACCACCCAGGGACCCTCAGTCATGACACCTCCCACCTCCTCACCAAGGTCCCCCACCCAAGTCCTCCCCAACAAGAACCCTCTCCATCCCAGGACCCCCCATCGCCAGGTCCCTCCGTCTCAGACACCCCTCAGCCAGACCATCCCCGACCTCCCCCCCATCCTGGGGGGGCCCCTCAGTCACTGTCGTCGCTGTCGCTCCCCGCTGCCTCCGCCTCCGCCTCGTCCCGCAGGTCAGCGAAGAAATCAGCCCCGTTGCCCACTGCCTTGCTGCTGAGGGCCGGCAGCGGCACCCCCTTCTTCTTCTTCTTCCGATAGTCATCCACCACCATCCCCCCCAGGGCCGAGATGTCCCAGAACTTCACCTTCTGGTCATGGCCACAGCTGGCCAGGAGCTGCCCCCCCGGGGCCACCGCCAGCTGCTCGATGGGCTCCCCCAGGTGCTGCCCGACGCAGCCCAGCACCCGGTTGGGAAGGATGTTCACCGCCCTGGGGGACACCGGTGGCCCCATCAGGACCTTGCAGGGAGGCAGAGCCCTGAGCCACCACGAGCCCAGCACAACCTTGGCGTGCCCTCCCTCCCCTTGCTTCTAACCAAGGCTGATCAGGTCCCACACCCTCCCCACCCCATCCCACCCTGTTCCATCCCACCCTGTTCCATCCTGTCCCGTACCACCCTTCCCCATCCCATCCCCCCTCGTTCCTGTACCACCCTACCCCATCCCATCTCATCCCATCCCACCTCGTCCCATCCCACTTCACCTCATCCAATCCTGTCCCGCCCCCCCCCATCCCACCCATCCCACCCCATCCCATCCTGTCCCGTACCACCCTACCACATCCCATCTCATCCCATCCCACCTTGTCCCATCCCACTTCACCTCATCCCATCCCGTCCCATCCCACCCCATCCCGTGTCCCTGACCTGATGACTCCGTCCAGGGACCCCACGCATACGATGCTGTCCGTGACGGGGACCATGCAGTCAACGGACTCTACCCTCAGAGCGAAGCGGTCGCTGGCGGCCCCGAAGCCGTCCCAGTTGAAGAGGTAGATGGTGCCCTCACTGGAGCCACACACCACTTTCTTCCCCCTCTGGGCAGGATGGAGGACAGCAAGGCAGATGTAGAACAAGAAACGTGGAGGGGGATCCAGGACCCTGCTCCGTGGCGGGGCCCGGCACCGACGGAGGCCAGGCTGAGCAAGATCGCTGGTGGGGCCAGATCAGCGGTGGCCCAAGGTCTGGTGGGCCACCAGACCAGCACCAACCTTCAGCAGCACGACAGAGGTCAGGTCCCCGTTCTGCGGCTCCGAGAGCAGCTCGAAGCGCCGCCTCTTCAGGTTGAAGACGCCCAGGGTGCCATCGCCGCTGCGGGAGGTGGACGGGGGGACACGTGGAGAGCACGGGACGCGGTGTGTCCCCCAGCTCCCTGGGTGGGCAGGGGGGAGTCCGGCCCCAAGGAACCCCCCCAACCCCGGTACCTGGCGGTGAGGAGGATCTTCCTGTTCCCGTCCACGGCCATGGCGCTGATGTACTCCTCCTGCTGCCGGGCCTCCAGGACGGCGTCCCCCTTGCGCAGGTCCCACACCTTCAGCCCCCCGTCGTCGTCGCCCGTGGCGAAGAGGTGGTGGTCGATGGGCAGCAGGCAGTTGAGGGCCGAGCTGTGGAGACCCCATCACGTCGGGGGACGATGCTCCGGCGTTCTGCGGCTCCGAGAGCAGCTCGAAGCGCCGCCTCTTCAGGTTGAAGACGCCCAGGGTGCCATCGCCGCTGCGGGAGGTGGACGGGGGGACACGTGGAGAGCACGGGACGCGGTGTGTCCCCCAGCTCCCTGCGTGGGCAGGGGGGAGTCCGGCCCCAAGGAACCCCCCCAACCCCGGTACCTGGCGGTGAGGAGGATCTTCCTGTTCCCGTCCACGGCCATGGCGCTGATGTACTCCTCCTGCTGCCGGGCCTCCAGGACGGCGTCCCCCTTGCGCAGGTCCCACACCTTCAGCCCCCCGTCGTCGTCGCCCGTGGCGAAGAGGTGGTGGTCGATGGGCAGCAGGCAGTTGAGGGCCGAGCTGTGGAGACCCCATCACGTCGGGGGACGATGCTCCGGGCCCGGCGGGGGGGGGTGAGAGGGAGGGGGGGAGGAGGGGAACGAGCCCCCCGCCCGGACCTACCTGTGGGCCTTGGGGAAGCGGGTCTCCAGCCGTCCCTCCTCCACCGTCAAGACGTGGATGGACTTATCCTTGGAGACGGTGAAGAGGTGGCCCAAGGTCTGGTGGGCCACCAGACCAGCACCAACCTTCAGCAGCACGACAGAGGTCAGGTCCCCGTTCTGCGGCTCCGAGAGCAGCTCGAAGCGCCGCCTCTTCAGGTTGAAGACGCCCAGGGTGCCATCGCCGCTGCGGGAGGTGGACGGGGGGACACGTGGAGAGCACGGGACGCGGTGTGTCCCCCAGCTCCCTGGGTGGGCAGGGGGGAGTCCGGCCCCAAGGAACCCCCCCAACCCCGGTACCTGGCGGTGAGGAGGATCTTCCTGTTCCCGTCCACGGCCATGGCGCTGATGTACTCCTCCTGCTGCCGGGCCTCCAGGACGGCGTCCCCCTTGCGCAGGTCCCACACCTTCAGCCCCCCGTCGTCGTAGGCCGGGGCCGCGCCGTCCCCGCTCCCGCTCGCCTCCTGCCCCGCCGCCGCCATGCCGCCTCCGCGCTGTGCGCAGGCGCGGAGCGTTTATTTGCATATCTCCGCCCTCCTCTGGGTTCAAGTACCGCTCGGCGCAGCCTTTCCTCGTGGGCCGGCTATAGCCCAGCGGTTACTTCGCATATCTCCGCCCTCCTCTGCGTTCAAGTACCGCTCGGCGCAGCCTTTCCCCGTGGGCCGGCTATAGCCCAGCGGTTACTTCGGTCTCTACAGGCTGTTGTGTCTCCGCCCCGTCAGGGGTTCGATACCGCGGGCACCCCTGGCTCATTTTGCCGGGCGCCCCCGCCCAACCGGTTTTTTTTTTCCTACTTTTCAGCCGTTGGGCAGCAGGAGCCCCCCCGGCGCCCCGATTTGCCCCGCGGCCTCCTCCCCTGCGCCCCAGGAGAGCTGGGTGGCCCAGGGAGCAGGCGTCACCTTGGTCCCTTTCAAGGGCCGGGGCCGGCGGGGCAACCCGAGACCCTGCCCAGCGCCCCCGGGGGCAACCCATACCCTCCCTGTGCTTGCCCAGAGGGGCTGTCCCAGTCCCCTGCCGGCCCCACAGCCCCAGGGACCAGCTTTGGCAGGTGCTGGGCAACCACAACCCATGCCCACCAGGCTCTGGGCAACCACAACCCATGCCCACCAGGCTCTGGGCCACCAGGCGGCCCACACACAGGCCCCCTTCCTCCCCCCCGTCCCCTCTGCTTGCTCATCTGGGATTATTTCCCCCAGATAGGTTTATTTGCTAATTTTATTCAGGGTTTGACAGGGGCTGCCACCCCCCAACACCAAAATGCTCCCAACAGTAGCCATCCTTGGCTAGGGCTGGCCCCGGGAGAGCCCTGTGGGGCTGGTGGCCCCCACTGATCCCAGCCCGGCCCCAGCCCCTTCTCTCTGCCCCACCAACAGGCACTGACCCAAATTTAACGCGGTTTTATTACAACTACAACATTTACACGTCACAGGCTGTACAGCAAACACGGGGGGGCTCAGCACAGCCCCACAGCGTGAGGCCGGGGGGGTGACAAAGGTTCCCAGCCCCCAGCAGAAGAAAGTGGACGGCTTGGGGGAGTGGGGGGCAAAGAGAGGACACCAGCAAGCTCTGGGCAGGTCCTGCAGGCGGGGGCTCCAGGAGCTGGAGCAGAAGACAGCGGAGGCATCAGTATTTGGGCCGTTTCACCTCAACCCTGGAAGAGACAGAGGGGCAGGAGGAGGTGAGGGTGGGGGGCAGAGCTCTGCCTCTCACCCACCCAGGTCCATGGTTTCACCCCACGGAACAGTGAGGAAGGCCCCACGGCTCCTCGGAGCTCCCAGGGGGATGGGGCAGAAAGGGCTGGTCAAGGAGCCCCAGCACGGCCCAGGGGTGGGCCCACACCAGGCAGCCCACACACAGGCCTCCTTCCTCCCCCCCGTCCCCTCTGCTTGCTCATCTGGGATTATTTCCCCCAGATAGGTTTATTTGCTAATTTTATTCAGGGTTTGACAGGGGCTGCCACCCCCCAACACCAAAATGCTCCCAACAGTAGCCATCCTTGGCTAGGGCTGGCCCCGGGAGAGCCCTGTGGGGCTGGTGGCCCCCACTGATCCCAGCCCGGCCCCAGCCCCTTCTCTCTGCCCCACCAACAGGCACTGACCCAAATTTAACACGGTTTTATTACAACTACAACATTTACACGTCACAGGCTGTACAGCAAACACGGGGGGGCTCAGCACAGCCCCACAGCGTGAGGCCGGGGGGGTGACAAAGGTTCCCAGCCCCCAGCAGAAGAAAGTGGACGGCTTGGGGGAGTGGGGGGCAAAGAGAGGACACCAGCAAGCTCTGGGCAGGTCCTGCAGGCAGGGGCTCCAGGAGCTGGAGCAGAAGACAGCGGAGGCATCAGTATTTGGGCCGTTTCACCTCAACCCTGGAAGAGACAGAGGGGCAGGAGGAGGTGAGGGTGGGGGGCAGAGCTCTGCCTCTCACCCACCCAGGTCCATGGTTTCACCCCACGGAACAGTGAGGAAGGCCCCACGGCTCCTCGGAGCTCCCAGGGGGATGGGGCAGAAAGGGCTGGTCAAGGAGCCCCAGCACGGCCCAGGGGTGGGCCCAGCACCCACGGCCCAGGGGAAGGGGGGTCCTGCAGGTCCTGCTGGGCCCAGCAGGGCAGGAGTACCCTCATGGCAGCCAAACATCTCTCCTTCCAGCCCCACCACCCAAGAGCCAGCAGGGAGGTCCCTGCCCGCTGCAGCCCCTGGAAGAAGGGCAGGAGACAGCCAGGTCCCACCCCTGAAGAGCACAGACATCTTTACTAACCCATCGGCCTCCAACTTCTTCCTCTTCTCAATGATCTGCAGAGAAAGCACAAAGCCCTGTTACCCTCGGGGGAGCTGCTGCCCACACCCACAGAAGGGCTGTAGGGTGTAAGATACACCTGGGGAGAGCTGTAGCCAGGCCAGAGCCAGCAGATGTGAGCTAAAGTGGTCCACAAATTGCCCAAAGCCTGGAGAAGCTGGGCCTGTTCCCCCTTTGCTCCATTCTGGCCATCAAAGACCACCTGTTCTCACCTCCCCCTTGTACCCCCGTACTGTTGGGGTGCTCATGGCCAGCTCACCCTGCCAGGACAAGCCCCAGCTCTGCCAGTTAGAAACCCAGGAGCTGCTCAATGTGCCTTGTCCCCTCCAAGCCCCTTTGGATGGCTCAGAGCTGCTGGTTTTGGACACGTTCACCTGCTGCAGAGCCTGAGGCAAAGAGCCCTCGCTCAGGACTGCTCCCAGGGACACAGCCCCAGCTGCCTCTGTGGTCCTGAAGCCCCAGATATTTGGCTGACGCTCCCACAAGGAGCAAATTCAGCTTCTAGACAAGCTACACACACCACTGGCGGTGCCTGGCTGCCAGGACATGTCCTGGACCACAGAGCCGTGCCCAGGACAGGGAGGGCAGGACCCGGTGGAAGCTCTCCTGGGCTGCTCTGGCAGCTGGTGGCCTGACCAGATGCTGCCCCAGCACCGGGCACTCACCGCGCTGATCTTCTTCCACTGCCGGTCCAGCTCGGCCTTGTCATTCGTCTCCTTGAAGCGACGGGTTTTGCGTCCCTCAGACATCTTAATCCCGTACTGGAAAGCTGCCCTGGGGAAGGAGGAGACAGAGCTCAGCGCTCGCGGGGGCTCCATGGAGGGCTGGACACATCTGCCCCGGCCACGGGACCACAACCCAGAGCCCCTGGAAGCAGCGGCTGGGCAGAAGTCCTCAAGAGCAAAGACAAAACACCAGAGCCAGGACCCACAGCTCCTTCTTTAAGCTCCCCCAGGAGCCAGGTTTGGGCCAGGGCTTCCACTCCCACCCCGAATCCTGGCCCAGCCCCTCGCAGGGACCGCACTCACTTGGGCAGGGCCTCTTTGTTGTTCATGTACTCGCTGTACTCCTCCTGGGTATCGAAGTCCCAGCGGCCCAGAGGTCCCTTCTTGTTACCCTGCAGCGAAAGAAGGACTCAGCACAGCTCCTCAGCTGCCACCAGCCAGGGGGGTCTCACACAGCCCCATGGGCCCGGGCAACACCTCAGCCTCCCACCAGCCCCACTTCAAGGGGCCTGTGCGCCCAGTCTGGGCTTGGCTCCAAGATCATCAAACAGAATCATAGAACGGTTACGAGTTGGAAGGGACCTTAAAGATCATCTCATTCCAACCCCCCTGCCCTGGGCAGGGACACCTCCCACCAGGTTGCTCCAAGCCCCCTCCAACCTGGCCTTGAACCCCTCCAGGGATGGGGCAGCCACAGCTTCTCGGGGCAACCTGGGCCAGGCTCTCACCACCCTCACAGCAAGGAATTTCTTCCCCACAGCTCAGCTCCATCTCCCCTCTTTCAGGGTCAAACCCTTCCATCGGGTCTCATCGCTCCTCTCCCTGATCCAGAGTCCCTCCCCATCTCTCCTGGAGCCCCTTTTAGGGACTGGAAGGGGCTCTAAGGTCTCCCCGGAGCCTTCTCTTCTCCAGGCTGAACCCCCCAACTCTCTCAGCCTGTCCTCCCAGCAGAGGGGCTCCAGCCCTCCCAGCATCTCCGTGGCCTCCTCTGGCCCCGCTCCAACAGCTCCATGTCCTTCCTGTGCTGAGGACTCCAGAGCCGAATGCAGTGCTCCAGGTGGGGTCTCATAAGAGTAGAGTCTCTCCTCCCCAAGAAGCCCCAAACTGGAGATTCCGTGGAAGAGGGAGTTGAGACACCTCCCCATCACCTCAAGAATCACATATTTGATCCTCTCCCCTCCCCAAGAAGCCCCAAACAGGAGATTCCATGGAAGAGGAATCACCCATCACCTCAAGAATCACATATTTGATCCCCGGGACAATAGATCACACCCAGACCCAGGCACATGGCGGTTCAGCAAACCCCAAAACACAATCAACACCCAGCCCCAGAGCATTTGTCCCTTCTGCTTCTCCCCAGTGGCATCCTCTCAGCCTGCACTGGTGCCTCATTCACTGGTCCTAAAGCTGACGATGGTGTACCTGGTCCATTTTGCTGTAGTCCACCTCTTCATCACTGTCCACAGCCATATCATCCATTCTGTAACAGCAAAGTGGGGAAAGAGCTCAGAGTGGTACCCATGGGACATGGACCAGGACCTTGGAGCGGGGCTCCAACGCTTA